GTCGCGCCGCCACCGCCGCCCGCCGGGGCCGCACCGGGGAGGGTGGGTCGAGGCGGGACGGGGAGGGGGCGGAGGGAGAGCCCTGCAGGAGGCTCCGTCCCCGGAATAAGTCCGCTCGTCCCCGTGTCCCAGAAGAGCCGCCTCTGGCTCTTCCCAGCTCCTCTCCCGGGGTGGGCTGGGTGGACGGATGGATGGAAGGATGGATAAGCGGACGGGTGTTCACCAGCTTTGTATCCATCCCCCCACCCCACTGAATTCCCCAGCCAGGACTAGCAGCACAGCTGTGTTGGAGGACATTGTGTCTCTCCTTGCATCAGCCTCAGTGGTTGAACCAGGAGCTGGAGGGCTGCGTGGTGGTGCCAGGAGGCCTTGGCGCAGCCTGCCCCACTGGCAGCGGCAGGGCTTTTCCTTGGGACTGGTCCCTGTGGCCCCCATGAGCCGCTGTGTCCAAGTGCTGTGTTTCTGCTGTACAGGACCCAGCACCCAGCCTGTCCAGATGCAGAGCGAAGAGGAAATACTGCTGCACATCCCCCAGCACACTTGGGTAGGGAGAGAATTTTTCCCCCCCCCCCCCCCCCCCGTGAAGTTGCACTGGGACCCCACTCCCTGGGTGATGGGAAGGAGGCAGGCCTGGCCTTCTTCTTCGTCCCCATCAACTCTCAGGTCCCGCTCCCCCGGACCTGCTCATGGGGCTGCCCAGTTCCCCCTTCCTGGGATCTCCCCATGGGGAGACATGTGTGGTTACTGCTCCACTCCACCAGACACTGGGACTCAGTGGGAGGAGGAGGTCCCAGCTCTAGAATGGACTTGGTGCCAAACAGACACTTGATGAAGCAGTTGCTCCTGCATCTGGGCCAGATGTGGGCTCCTGCGCATGACTCAGCAGCCTGGTGTCTTCCTCTTTTGTAACTGGAAACCAGCGCTTCAGAGCAAGGAGGGAGCTCTGCCAGAGGGGCGGCTTTTGCCCCAGGTCTTGCTAGCCCCCTGTGTCCCCGCAGCCACAGTGTCTTCATGGGATCCGCAGTTATTTGTGGAGGAGAAGCTGCGCTGCAAGGGGCAGGCTATGCCACTCAGGTGCTCCTTGGTGTGTAAAACTGTGCAAGGCCATCTGCACCCCAGGGAGGGGGGACCTTGGCAGTATGAGCTTTCCCACAGACTCCAGCGCAGGCTCCAGCAGTGTGTGCATCCCCAAAGCAGCGCTGGGGCCGTTCGCACCTGGGACTTGAGCAAAATGAACTCCATGAGCACGCAGAGCTGATTGCTGGGCCTAAGCGCTCTGCAGCTACAGCTAAGTGGCTGCTCAACTGTAGGGTAGTAAAGCCAATATTCCTCCTGACAGGGTTTATGCAGTTTAACTATCACATTTTGGAGACATTGTATTTATGCAGTCATGAGACACTGGAATTACAAAGGGAGGTGGAGAGCTGTTCGGGAGAGGAAACTCCCTTACCCAGAAGGGGCCCTGACTCATCCCTTGCTGGGATCTGCATGGTGCAATCAGACTCGAGGGACTCCCTGTCACGCCTGCGGCATGTCCCAGACCCATTCGGGTCCCCATGCTCTCAGCCCTGGTGCTTGCTTTGCCCACTGCTGCTCTGTGCTGCCAGGCTTCCATCCTTCTGGTGGGGAGCATATTCTGGACCCCTAGAAAGCTCCTTGCTCCTGTCTGTGCCTTCTCCAGCTGCACAGTAGCCTGCCAGCCTGTGGGAAGGTAGAGCAAGGGGGGATTTGGGGACAGAAGACCAAATGTCCTGCCACAAGATGAAGGGAGCCTTGGTGGAGCTGCCACCATGAGGGGCTGCTGCCCATGCAATGCGTGGGGAACGGTAGGGGAGAAGAAGTGCAGAGATGACAGGGTGACAGTCATGGCCACCATGCTCAGGCATATGGCTAATGCCTGAATTCCCTTTGTATCCTGTCCACCCAGGAGGTGGATCTGCAGCATGGGGCAATTCTGGGCCATGGCACCAGGAGGCAAGCTGCAGCTCTCATCGCTTTTGGGGGGTGGTGTCCATGTCTGCTGGCTGGGTGGGCTGGACACAGCCACATCTATGCTCTCCAACCTACAGCGAGCATGGCACGGCTTGGCTTTGCCAAGGCAGAGCTCAGTGTGTCAAGCTTACACAGCCCTGCAAAACCTTTAACCGCTTAATTAAGAAAATGTACCTCATTGTTGGAATATATTTCCTACCTGTATTTTGAATAAGCTCTTCTGGTTGGCCCTATTAAAGGCAGGAAAAACCTGAAAGGCTCAGATACTGTATAAGAGCACATTTTTCTCATGTCAAAAATACACTCTCAGCAGAGGAAGTTGCTTTGTTCAGGTGCTGGAATGTGGCCAGCCTGTACCAGGGTAGAAGGGTTTTATTGCAGGGTGGGCCTTGCAGCCAGTGGAGGAGGTCAGAGATGGCTGATCCTTAGTGCGTGGGAGACAAGTGGGAACATCTGTTGGTGCCACTGAGGCTGAGGGACACTGGTGGGACCCGTGCAGGACCAGCCGGGGCAGAACCCACTCCAGCAAAGCCCCTGCGGATATTTGGCCAAGTTCACGCCCAGTATGGTGCACCACAGCCCCCCACCACTCCCACCCCACAGCCAGACTGGGGGCTGTGGGTGCACACCGCTGGGCTGGGAGGAAGGCAGGGGTGTGGGCAGACCCAGTGCAACCCAGGATGGTGGCTGCGGTGACAGCACATGAGCCTGCACAGGGTGGGTGCCCAGCAGCAGGTGCTCACCACTGCACTGCAGCACCGAGGGATGTGGAGGGCTCCCTGTGGCCGTGGGATCATGTCTGGACAGTCAGCTGTGGCCACCACATCCAGGTAGTCAGCCATGGCCACGGGTGCCCTGTCCTGCTGGTTGGGTGGCCATCGCCAAGCTGCAATGTGGAACGGGGACAGGGCATGGGGAGGCAAAGAGAAGAGACATGCAACAAGGCTCAGCTCGCTAACGCAGGCACAGAATGCTCAGTGTTTATTGGTGGTTTCACTCCAAATGGTTTGTACAAGAACAAGCTGACTC